AAACATCACCAAAAGTTGAGAAAGGGTTTGTTTTTTCTGCTTCCCCCACTGAATGAAAATAATTTGTGTATTAATATGACCCTGAAATAATTTCCTCTCTGTGCTTTGTGTGCTAAGAAAAGAGACTCTAGGAAGTGCCCTGTACAAATGGATTCCTCTTTGCGAAGAGACTTAAGGTTTGTGAAGGAAGGTTTTGTTATCTATTTATAAATTTATGGATAATCATTCCATAAGCTGCTTGGATTCCTCTGTTTAGAGGTCCATTGTTTGTGCTGAAGGAAGGTTTTGTCATCTATTTATGAATTTATGGATGAAGCTGCTTGGATTCCTCTTTGCTCAGTAGGTAAAGGGTCCATGATTTGCACTGAAGGAAGGTTTTGTCACCTATTTATGTATTTATGGATAATTAACCCATAAACTGCTTGGATTCTGCTGTTTAGGGGCCCATAGTTTGTGCTGAAGGAAGGTTTTATCACCTATTTATATATTTATGGATAATTAACCCATAAACTGTTTGGATTCTGCCGTTTAGGGGCCCACAGTTTGTGCTGAAGGAAGGTTTTGTCATCTATTTTTGAATTTATGGATAAAGCTGCTTGGATTCCTCTTTGCTCAGTAGGTAAAGGAGTCCATGATTTGCGCTGAAGGAAGATTTTGTCACCTATTTATGTATTTACGGATTAATTAACCCATAAACTGCTCGAATTCCTCTGTTTAGGAGTCCATAGTTTGTCCTGAAGGAAGGTTTTGCCACCTATTTATGAATTTATGGATAATTAATTAATAAACTGCATGGATTCCTCTATTTAGGAGTCCATAGTTTGTGCTGAAGGAAGGTTTTGCCACCTATTTATTAATTTATGGATAATTATTCCATAAACTGCTTGGATTCCTCTGTTTAGGGGTCCATGGTTTGCACTGAAGGAAAATTTTGTCACCTATTTATGGATTTATGGATAATTATTCCATAAACTGCTTCGATTCCTCTGTTTAGGGGTCCATGGTTTGCGCTGAAGGAAAATTTTGTCACCTATTTATGTATTTACTGAGAATCACTCCCTAAGCTGCTCGCACAGACACATCCCGACGTGGGAAAGCCGGCACGTTCCCAGACAATAAACCGGATTTGTGAATGTTTGAACAAAAGAATAAAGACTTGCCAGTCCAAATAAAACTTGCCAGTCCAAATAAGACAAAACAAGGCGTCTGAAAGCCAAGATTACAGCCACAAACCTCCCCTGCGTGTCAAATATCGGCGTGATGGCAATCCCGGATCCCGATGGATCCCGATGGACCCCGATGGATCCCGATGGACCCCGATGGATCCCGATGGATCCCGATGGACCCCGATGGATCCCGATGGATCCCGATGGANCCCGATGGACCCCGATGGATCCCGATGGATCCCGATGGACCCCGATGGACCCCGATGGATCCCGATGGATCCCGATGGACCCCGATGGATCCCGATGGATCCCGATGCCCGAGGCCGGGCGGGCATCCCGCTGGCCGGCATCCAGCCCTGCGCTGCGCTGGCATTTGCTCCGAGGGAGGAAGGGGAAGGAGGAGAGCTGGGGTTAAATATAACCCGGGAGGCTCCAGCACAAACTCCGGCGGAGGAGCCGAGCGGGCGGGACCCGCCTGTTGAATCAGCAGCACGCCCGGACTCCGCTTTTAGCTCGGCGAGGGCTAAAAGCGAGCGGGGGAAATGGGCTGGAACAGGCGAAAGCTGCTCTGTTTACGGGCCTCCATCGGCAGGGAAAACATGTTGTGATTAAACGTGGCAGCTGTCGGTGCTCCGAGGTGTTACAAGCAGGGGGCTATTTAAAGACAATGACTGGCGCCGTCTATTCCGCCTCGATTGTGGCAGCCCCGAAGTTGTTTCGTGGCAGAAAGTGGATTTTTAGTGGCAGGGAATACGCTCAGCTGGAGGGTTTCCCCCAAAAGCCAGGATAAATGATGTCATCGGAGGCACTGGCTGCTCGATGATTACAGAATCCCAGAATAAGCTGGGATGGAAGGCAGCTGAAATCCCACCCTGTCCCATGGGCAGGGACACCTTCCACCGAGCCCTGTCCCACCTGGCCTTGGACACTTCCAGGGATGGGTCTGATCGTATTTACACACACTAAAGGACACAGAAAGTGTATTTCTGATGTACCTTAACACACAATTTAACAGCAACTCTCTCTAGAGCACACTCAACTTTAAATCTTGGGATGGGTGACCCCATCCCTCCGTCCCAGCCCGGCTGCAGGGGCTCACTGTGGTGCCAAGTCCCTTGATGATGGAGGTGCCTCATTTATAGGCCAAATCTACAAGTTTATATGGCAATGCTACAAATTGTAAGGCAATGCTACAAATTTATAAGGCAATGCTACAAATTTATAAGGCAATGCTACAAATTTATATGGCAGTCCTACAAAACACTCCTTGAGAGGTCGGATCTGATGCTAAAGGAAAAGACCCCAGAGTGCTGCCTGCAGCCTCACCCCTCCCCAGGTGCTGCGGATTTCCCAGTGGCTCGGAGCCCTCCCCAGGAGCAGGGCTGGCTCTCGGGGCCCCAGGACAGGGACACGCTCCTGTGAGAGAAATTCATGAGATGCAAATGGCTCAGCAGGGAGATGCAAAGCAGGGGTGGCTGTGAGGGACCTGGCTCTGCCTTTCCTCTGTGGCAGTGGATGCTCCTATCCCCATCCCCAGGCGCACTGGGATCGTTCCTGTTTTGCAAGAAGCAAGCAGGGACAAAGAAATTCCAGCTGTCAACCCCTTCTGTCTGTGCTTTCAGCCTTCAGGCCAAGATCCTGTTGTTACCTGAGAACCCAGATTCCGATTAAAAAGATGAGCAGCTCCAAAGCTCGTGGTTATGGGAACAGCTCTGACAACACCAACTCCAAACAACAAACCCCCAGAGCCTGCCCACAGCTGTGTAACCCCAAGGCAAACGCAACACATCTCACAGAATTCCGATACATCTCCCCTCCCTTGGGGGAGAGGTGAAGACACAGCTGGATGTGTTGGGTTTTTTTAAAATATGAGCTGAGATTTTCATGTATCCTACAAAGTCCTGCTTTGGGGGTTTTCCCTCACCAGCCACCCAGAAATCAAACTGTTGATTCCAAACTCTCTCAGCAGACACAGTCAAAGGTTGATTCAACCTGTCTTGAACGAGGTAACCATGAGCCTCCCAAAATGCTTTCCCTTCTACTAAATGTGCCACTTTAAAATAAAACCTGATACTAAATTGACTGAAATAAACTCAGACCGAAAAGTGAAACAGCAGAGGCGGAGAGGGAAGCCCAGGAGCTTAAGATTGGTATTTAGAGACTGATTTTTTTCCTTTTCTCTAGCCCAGACATTACTTTCTATTCTCAAATGATTTGCAACCAAGAGAGAGTTGAAAAGTTTGGGCAGAAGCAGATGAAAAAAGCCTTGACTAAATGATTCTGGAGTTGAGCTCTCAGTTTAACCTACCAGTTAAAGCCTCAGTTTAAGGACATTCCAAATGCAAAAAGGTAAAGTAGATTTAACAATATTTAATAAAATTATTATTAATTCTGCTTTTTAATTAGTAAGTCTCACCTCTTTCAACAGCTAAGCCAAAATAAAGGCTTTGGAGTGCTATCTAAGTAAAAAGAATGGAAACATTTAATCAGGCAGCAGGAACTCACGCTTGAAACAGGCACGTCCACAAAATCCCACTCTAACAGGAGATGAATCTTGTTTCACAACACGCTTTATTCAAAACCAACAGCAGAAACCACATCAAGAACAGACGGCAGATGCTTGCAAATAGGTGTCGCCGCGATTCCCCCCCATTTCTAAGACCGACTCGAAAGCGAGCGCCGGGATCTCCCAGCTCTGGCAAACTCCAGGGACGAGCTGGAGTTGAAACCACGTCCCTCCACCCCCAAAGAGGAGGAGGAGGAGCGCTGGGGGGGTCGGGGACAGCGTGGGGAGGGGGAGAGAAGGGAGAGAGAGACGGGGAGAGCAGGGAGAGAGAGACGGGGAGAGCAGGGAGAGAGGGACGGGGAGAGCAGGGAGAGAGGGACGGG